CTTCTCTTTGTCTTGAGCTGTGTGCGGGCACCCATAGGTATTTTTAGACGCCTACACACATCATTTAAGCGTCGATCCTCACAGAGGAGGATGTCAGCTCTTCCCAAATGCCTCACAAAGGAGAGCAAACGAGGATACAATATGCAATATTTAATCTTAAATTCACGAGTAAAAGCGGAAAAGCAACCTCGTATGATGAAGGCTCTCTCTCAGGTGGCTGAGTAGCCGGCCGACCCCTCGAAATGCGTGATCTCTTCGGTGACATAGCTAATCTACAATGGAAGTCAGCGATTCAGTTATATCAAAAATTAAGGTACATAAATCTGAGATTTAAAGGGAAATTGCGAAATTTAGCTCAAATTCTATAAAAATAGGATTTTTCGGTTAAAATCCAATTAAACCTACAAAACACCCCGAACCAAGTATCCCAAGCACAGTTCTCAACAAAGACCAGTTGAAGCTTCGAACATCCTTGCAAGCCAAACTTCAGATTTTGGGTTTTAGTCAAAATCCAAGCTACAAATTATGAGTTACGTTCAAAGCCAAGAGTGATATATCGGTTATCACCCAAAGGTCCTCGCACAAAATCGAGTAAAGAGGCGCGGTTCTTACACAAGTCAAGCAAAGGGTTTCAGCAATTAAAAAAAAATCAAGAATGAGTATTGACCTAAATTTCAAGCTATAAACATGATTATGAGCAAGAGCTAAGGGTCTCAGCCATGCGCAAGTTCAAGGATTAAAACTCTGAAAAAAAAAATCAAAGCTTCGACCTTTTCTCCTCAAATCAAGGACTCGATTCAGTTCTTGTTCACGACCAAAAAAGGTCCAACAATCAAGCAAGGATTCGAACAATCTCAAAACCGAAAATTGAGGTTCTGGTGTTTCTCTCAAGTTAAGAACTGAATATCAATCATAAAGCCAAGGATTCCCAAAGCCAAAATCAAGAATCCCAAAATCAAATTAAGTATTGGTTCTTGCCTAAAACCGAGCCCTCATCCAAAATCAAGTTAAGGGTTTTAGCTATCATCTATAAAGGTCGAAGCTATAACGTTAGTTGAACTGTGAATACACTCAAAACCGAGCATCAATTATCACCTCAATCCCGAAACCAAAGCCCCAAAGTTTGATGTTCGGTCATGGTTAAAGAAGAAAAGAATCAAAATTGAAGGAGGCAACCAAAACTAAGAGCATAGAGCTTTAGACCTTACCTGAAATCCGACCAAGAACTTGGCTTGGAGATTGGCGAATCACAATGAGAAACTCGGATCCGAGAGGCTGAGTACGAAACCCTAAATCTCGAGGTGGAGTTCGCCGTTCGAAATTAATAAGTTGAAGGAGAGATTTAAGAAGGAAGAGAATGAGGTGTTGAGTTCTTAGGGGAGAAGAATTCTTGAGGAAGAAAATAAAAAAAATGATAAGGAAGAAAATCGAGATTTTGGGGTTTTAAAGATCCCAAGGACTAAGCCCGGGACCGACCTTGTGCGAGTCACCTCGACGTGACTCGCACACGTGCGGGTCATATTGAAGTGACTCGCACACAGGGTCGCCCCGTAGCCGTTTTCGTGGTATTTTTCGCTTGTTTTCACTTGTTTTCGATGTATTTGAGGTTTGTATTCACACTCCGATGAGTATACGAGTATAAATTACATCTTCTTGAACCTCAGACGGGTATACGAGGTTAAACTGATTCCCGAAACTCCAAAGAGTATAAGAGTATAAACTGATTCTTCACGCTCCAACGCCTTAAGAACTTAAACTGTGTAGACTCCAGATGAGTATAAACCGTGTTCAACGCCGATCAATGCACCACAATGAAAGTCGACGCCGGTCAACGCATCGATAATTTCGTCGAAATAAGGCTCAGGAAAAATCCAGATCAAAGGATAATCTCTGGAGTTCAATCGTGATTCAAATACAGACTCTCGATGAAGTTGATCAGTTCTACGATCTGAGTTAATTCAAATATCAACACACCAGATTCAGTTTAAGATTTCGACAACGGTCAGACGATAAACACAGTATCAGAAGAATTTCAGTTATTTGATAAAATACTGAAAGCCGAAGAAATTAATGACGAAGTCTACGTATTCAACATCGTAACGACCGAAGTCTATGCCTTTCACGCGTGGAGGACTTTATCTCGATCCCTAATTAGAGATAAGAATACGCCTAACACGCGTTGTCGGGTGGTACGTTCCCGTAAAAACGATAGAGTCTACGTATTCAGTATCATAGCACTAAGTCTAAAAGAGTTCATTCTTTTAGCATAATGTTACTTGTAGACGGACTTAGACAATCTACATGCTAACCCGATTCAAACGGTAGTAGGTAAAGGCTCATCAAATCCATTAATGACTGAGGGTTTGCTAAAAATCCTATAATAAGCATCTCTCGACGACAGATTTGCTCTTAACTTTTATGGAGTCTGCGGTGATAGTCAAGGCCTTGATAACCTCCTCTTCCATAACATTGTTTTAATAGTCATTGACACATCAGCTTCATCAGGTGGTTTCGTGACTCGAGCACCTGTAGTAGCTTCAGGGATAGTAGCTGTATCAGCACCAACGGTTGGTCCTATAATCAAATCTCGCACAAATAGCTAAACCTGACGAGTGTCCGATGCATTCTCAGCTTGTTTTTTCCATACTCCGAGAAGTACATGAATATAAACTACTTCACGTTTTAACGCCTTAAGAGCTTAAACGGTGTAGACTCTAATTAACGTACGAGTATAAACTGTGTTTACGCCGTAGCGGAAGTCAACGTCCGACAATTTCGCCAAAATTAGGCTTGGGATAATTCTATTTCCCGCACACGGAGTTCAAATGCAATTGAGATATAAACTCTCGACGAAGATGATCAGTTCAACGTCGACTCAACGACACGAGCTAATTCAAGTATCAACGCACCAGTTTCAGTTCAAGATTTCGATGATGGTCAAGCGATAAACGCAACATCAGGAGTATTTCAGACTACTCGACAAAATACCGAGTAAGTTGAAACCCGAAGAAGTCGAAGAACTGAAGCCATTCACAAGTCCTTTTTACACAAGATTTAAAACAGAATCTATCTTATCCAAAGTATTCCAGACTCCTCGATAAAATACTGAGGAGACTGAAAGCTTTGGAGGTGTAGGTGTCAAAAATTACCTATAAGTTTTCGGATACAACTCAAGACGAAGAGGATACGATTAACGTAATCATCTGAGTCAAAGAAGATCATCCGATACCAAAAGGAAGCAAAGGAACACGTGAAAAGACGGAACGAAGAAGTGACCGAATGCTCAAATCGACGAAACGCGGAATGAGACATGCATCGGTGTGTCTCACCTGCGAGACACAATATGTGTCTCGCATTCATGTGCGAGACACAAAGTGTGTTTAGCCCAGTCAGACTCCCACGACGTGTTTTTTGATAAGTTTTCGGGATTCGTGCGGTCCAGTGGCTTCCTAACTTTCTTGGGAGTATCCTTACACGCTAGAGAATCGTTATTAACTGAAGATATGACCAGATCACGAGATCTTATCCACAAACAGAGTATTCGAGGCCTATAAATACCCCCCTTCGTGCATTTTTGAAAGGTATTGACGTACGTGTGAGAGAACTTACGATTTTCAGAGTAGAGCCATGATTTTCAGAGACAAAGGTGGGATCTTGGCGAATTCTTACGTATAAAGAGAATATTTCGAGAGATCTGTTGGCTTTTATTCATTCCCTTAAGACCAAACCGTTGTTTTGATCTTGAGAAGAGTATTTATCTCACATCGCTGAGATATTTACTTCTGTTCTAGTTTCCTCGTTGAAATAAGAACCCCGAGCCTTCTTCACGATCAACGTAGATCTTGAATCGGTAGTCTACGGATCAAAGCGTCCCCGGCACAGACAAAGATCACACACAAGCAATGACCGATAAACGTTTTCTGTGTGTGTTTTCAGGAAATCTCTTTTTTGTTTTCGTTGTAACGAGAAATCTTATAAAAAGATTAATTCCTTTGAATCTGTGTAAACGATAAACGTTGTAATGGGTTCAACAATGAAATTGATTTCCGACGCAAACAAAGCCTAATACATAGTCATCAAGAAAGCACCAAAAGGAACAAAATATCAAGTTTCAACCACAGCAAACCAAGCCTGATGATCCTTTGTAGCCATTACAGCTTCCATTTTTTATTTCTTACCTAGAACTCTGGTTCATGCCAATTTTCCTGATATTTTATGTTTATTCACCAGCAAGGGGGAAAAATTTCACTTTGTGAAAAGAGGGGAAAAAAAAATCCCTTGTAGGTTTTCTGTAATTCATTCGTTGAGACTGTCCGCATACGATTAAAATAAAAGCTGATGTAAACTATCACCGGAGAAACTAGGAGCCAAAGATGACGAATGATCTTTAGTTCATCATATTCAAGAAGAGATAAAGTAGTAGATGCGAATAGTGTCTTTTACTTATGTTGGTTGAAAGGGTCATGAGTAGCATCGTAAACTACCATAAATCGACAGAAAAAAAAGGAAGAAGATATGTTGACTTGATAGTCCAATAATTAGTTTGTTAAAAATCATTTATTTTCCTTGAAAATGATAAATTCATATCCTACTAAATTGACAGAAAGATATTTTTCCAAAACAATATTAATGACAGATATTTTCTTATAATTGTCCCCCATACACCGCATGGCCAAAAATTGTAGATTCATGACAGTTGGGTCTTCCTGCAGAAGAGGAAATAACGTTAACTACAATGCTAGATTATTTACTTGTATATATGAAAAGTGAACTTAAATTGTGCGTATCAGCTTCCAATTTATCATCACACATAGGAAATGAGAATATATCTTCGACAAAGTTCCCTATTATGATTATACAGGAAAAAGGTGCAATTGAACTCCAGTTTAATTATGTTTTGCTCTTACATAGATCTCAAAATCTGATTAGTTCAATGGGCGAACATTCTGAAAGTTATGAACATGGTTCTTGTAACTGAATTATCTATTGTCGTTTTACAGGTGATTGTGGAGAAGGCAGAGAGAAGCGACATACCAAATATTGACAAGAAAAAGTAAGCACATCTAGTAGCTGCACTAATTCATCCAGTCCAGTTACAATTTTGTGCTGTATTTGTTTCCGAAAGTCATATGACCATGTCTTTTTTTTTTAATCCATCAAGGTATCTGGTTCCAGCAGATTTGACGGTGGGGCAGTTTGTATATGTAATTCGCAAGAGAATCAAACTAAGCGCAGAGAAGGCTATTTTCATCTTTGTAGACAATGTGCTTCCACCTACAGGTAACCACGGTGAACTTTTTTGTGAAGTTCTGCTGTTCTTCCTTAATTCAGCAACTAATCTTTAGCCTGCTTTAAAATCATTAGGGTCCGTGATGTCAACCATTTATGATGAGAAGAAAGATGGAGACGGGTTTCTTTATGTGACCTACAGCGGAGAGAACACATTCGGAGGGCTTCAGCCTGTGTTTTAGGTTCCCGACAACGGCTGGCGCTATTGCAAGCTCTCGATCGCTGCTGTACTCTTTATTTTCTGCAAAAATCAGTCTCGCCTCGCGAGCGAGCGAGGCGTCTTGAGAAGCGATTTGAAGTTGTGTTTGTAGTGTGCGCTTCTGTGTATAGCTTTTAACTGAATCAGACGGTTTGGAGAAAACAGTGGATATGCTCCAAATTGTTGATGTGTGTATTGGATCTCATTTCACACTGATGCTTGATGTGCTGGAATTTGAACAGAACTTTCAGGGACTGGTTGAATTGAGGACCATGGGACAAGGTGCTCACACAAAACTGGGGACATCTAAATTAATGGAGACAAAGCCTTGGATCTACCCTTATTATTACCTCTCTGTGTAGAAATCAAGTTCTTTACTGATATTAGTACAGTAGATTCACTTCACGAGATCCATTTGGAGGCAATAAGCAAAAGTGACTCGCCTGATGCCTTGTCATCATTAGAGTGAAAATCTAAGAAAATAAATGTTTAAACATTTACTATAAAAAAACAATGTATATCTAACTGCTTATAACGAAAAACATAGCAAGCCACAACAAAATACCGTGCTGTTGAAATTCGAAGTGGATTTAAGATTAATTTGGCGGATAAGTTAAATGCAAGGCAGAATGTACTATATGAACAGGATGCGCAGTATGCTTATACGTCTACTTGTCTTCAGGGGCCTTCGATCCATTTTGGCCCATCTCTTCCATTTTAAGCGGCCCATATCTCTTCAATTTTTTTACGCTTTCCCGCCAAAGGAGACTTGGACTTGGTTTCGAAACGCAAAGCCAGAGAAAGGGGAGAATGAAAACCCTAATTTCAGTTTGCAATAGAATCAGAAAGAGCAGAGCAAAGCAAAGCAAAGCAAAGCAAAGCACAGAGAGAGAGAGAGAGAGAGAGAGAGAGAGAGAGAGAGAGAGAGAGAATCGATCGCCATGGATCTGAAGCAAGCGGGCTCCTCCCTCGATTCCCTCGTCTCTTCCTTCAACACTCGCATCGTCGAGCTTCAAGATCTCGTCATCGCCCGCAACAGTAATCTCTCTCTCTCTCTCTCTCTCGAGCGATCTCAAACTCTTCGATTTAAATTCATTGGAAACCTAATTTCTTTAGTTCATCGGCGATTCCCTCAGTGTACCCAGCCACCAGCGTGCCGGACCTCTCGCAAGCTGATACGACCCTGAAGGCCATGGAATCTCAGATCCAATCCATCAAGGACCGATTGCAAGAGGAGAGGAGCGCCATTCCTAAGGCTAAAGTTGCTTCTCCTCTTCATCATCTGACGGCACTGGATTCGATTTGGGTTTATTTTGAATTGGATTTTATTGGGTTTATTTTGAATTTGTTTTTATTGATTTCGATGTTCTTCATTCAGAAAATCATTGAGCTATCCTTGCGTCAGCAGAGGAAGTTGCAACAAATGCTCGCAAACGTCCCCTCCGGTATGCGAGAGGCCATGGTGTTGCCTGAGCAGACCCCTTCTCGGTACTTAACCGTTTCCATACAACTTATTATCATTATTTTTTTTTTCTAAGAAACCTCGTTTGTTTGTTGTCCTTTGAAGAAAATAAAATATTGCTGTGTTGTAGTTCTCTAATTGACGTACCGAATTATGATCACCCGTATGAAACTCTGGAGCTCAAGGAGGAGCCTGTTCCATTGCCCAAGGTATGGAGTCTTGACTTCAGTGAGCTCAGTTTTTAGATTCGAAACTTTCGGGTGGAGTTTTTTTGTTGCTCTTGATATTTGATACGGTACATCTCCCCAACTTGTTATGTTGTCGTTTAAATTGTTGTGAATAAGTTTGAATTATAAGAGGCCAAGATCCTTCTCCAATCTGATGCCAAACGTGTATAAAATCATAAGGTTGCTTACCCTCAGCAGGTTAATTATTTTCTTAAACTTCTGTATCGTCCCGTGGAAATTACTTCTACTTCCTATAAACTTTGGGAAGCTACTCAAAGAACGACATATGAAGGTTAAACTCTTCCACTGATAAAAGGCACATCTATATGCATGCCTGTGCATGCATGCTCATGTAATCGTGCTTGTGGGGCCGTTGTGTAGTGCGGGTGTGTGCATGTGTTTGTGTGCATCTCATGCGTGGAAAGTTTGGCAGGAGTCCTTCCCGTGTAAGACTGGGGAGAAAACACTGCCAAGTACACTTTTGGGAAGGACTCTTATGCGGAAAATATTATGACAGATTTTGTGTGCGCTTTAACTGATCTATCCATCTGCTGTTGCAGGAGAAGAAGGTTCGAAGCTCAGCACCTCGTTGGTATGTCACTTCCGAGGAGCTTGATTCCTTGTCATCGTGAGTTCTCATTTCTTCCCTGAAGTTACTGGGTAGCTATCAACCTCTTTGTTCATTGCCATTCCTGTCGAGTGCAAATTATCAAGTTTTGGTGGTTGATTGCCTGTCATAAGGACTTGATCAGTTTTGACAAGGAACTTTTCCAATTACTGTTTTGATGAGGAATGACTTCTAATTGATGACGATCACAGTGAAGTTTCGAGGAAACAAGGTTTAAATTAATTTCAAATTCATGATTTCTGATTGACGATAATCAGATATGCTTGCTGGACTAAGGTAGTGATAAAAATTCATATCACTTGCAGCTAGGTATACTTTATAGGGTGGGTGGAGTACGCTTTAGTATAACCCTATTGTATGTCATTAACTTACTCATCAATAATTTATTGTATGTTATTAACTTACTCATCAGTAATTAATGATTCTGATAATAGCTAAATTAAGCCCTTGTAGGCTCTATATACTTGCTGAAGTATTCATTGATATCAATAAATAGATTGATAAAATTTGACATGCCTTCATCATCAATAATTAGTGATTCCATGTCTTTTGGGTCCATTCTAGTTATATGAGGGGGAGGCTCACATTCGACAAGGTCAACATTGCTATTAATGAGATTGCTACACTCGCTGATGCAAATTTTCAGCTCATTACAGCCCCGAAGAAGAAGGTTTGAATTTCTTGTAATGTTCTCGCAGATTTGTTCTGGCTTTCTTATTCTCTTCAACCTTTTGCAGTTGACAGAAGACACTTGGGAAAAAGCTCTGGTAAATAATTTCAATGCTGCTTCCGTGCAACGATGCCAACACAGTTCTTCACATATTATTAACATGTGCAAATACTATGAATTACTGGTGGCTTAACTCTATGACTTTATACACATGCCCATGATAAAATGCAGGAACTTAGAGACATCGCAACGGCAGAAACAGTGAGGGGGAAGCATTTTTTTCTTGAGACTGATATTAAAGGACCAGGACTAAAGCTTGACAACACCGGGAAAGCAATTTTAACTGTAAGTAGTTGATTCCAAATAGGCGTACACAGATAAACATACCTTTCCACATGCGCCCATCTTCTACATTCATTCAGATTGCAGGATTTCTGTTTGAATGGTTTGTTCATGCGTCATTCTACCTTAGCTCAAATCTTTTACTTTATTGTGCGGCTCCATATCCTTTTGGTTCTCTGGAAAAGGGCATAGCTGAATACTTTTTGCAATCCGCAGGTTCTCCGTCATCTCGGTCGCATTCAGGAAATTCGCATTGGCCATCATCGTGTGATAACCCTTGCGAAACCCCAGTGATAACTACAACTGAAAAACTTCTCGCTGCATATGTAGCATTGTTGTATCTATTTACTTGACTCCTGCCAGGGATTTGTACCGTGCAGTGTGTTTTTAATTATAATGTTTTTCTGTTAGTTTTTGGCTTTCTGCTAATTTGCATGTTTAGCTTTGTTTCACCAGTGGCCTGCAATTATATCTCAAAGGAAATGTTGGTCATACATCACAAAGGACAAGCTGCTGAAAGATGGTCCCTTGTCACTTCCCTCTATGAGATAAGTTCTTTTGCTCATTTAGAGCTAACTAAACCTACAGAAATCATTTAGAAATACAATGTTGCAAGCGCTATAGATAAATAGTTTGTTAACTATTTTAACTCCTATAGATAAATTTTATGTTAATTTACTCTGGTTATCATCCCCCCCACAATTCATCTATTTCTTATCGTCATGGGCCTAGATGAAAGAGATAACAGTCCTCAGGTTTAGGGAACATCTGACCTGAATTACACGCGCTTGAAAACTCTTACATGTGCCTTCAAAATTGAGCAGCGCCAAGTAGAAGCAACAGAAAAATGGCCGGGGAAATTGAGCAGTCTTGGACTCCTCCCGCAACAAGCCCGTAACCTTGTCTATTCCCCTCTCTAGTTTATTATCGGATCCCTGATGGCTCTATAGTTATATAAAATTTTGATTTTTTTAGGGTTTTTTTATTTATTTTTTGATCTTGCTGTAGCTCCCTGTTAATGATGAGCTCGTTTGGCACAATGGAACGCCGTTCCCTGAGCCCTGCGTTGATCAACTCGCTCCCACCATCGGAATGATTCGAGATTTTTAGGGTTTTTGGTCATCTGCCTAATTAACCCTAATTCCCTTCGAATTGTATTGCTAAGTATGAGGCTTTGGGTTGGGTTTGTGGAGGAGGATTGACTTTCTTTGGGAGTTTAATTAGGACTTACTTGCTGCTTTGAATGAGCCTGAAAAATCCCCTTTGTAAGTCCCTCCGTTTCCCCGGAACTTTTTTTTCTCCTTGAAGTTATATGCCTTGAAACTAGAAAGGAACAATTTTGTCAAGTTTGCGGCGTTGTTAATTTGTAGGTAGCATTTGTGATTTGATGAATCGTAATAATGATAGTTATGTCAAAAAGATTTGCATTTTACATGTAGAAACTTTGGTCATTAGGATGATGCCAAGGCCGCACTGGACTAAGATCGTATGCTTTCATTTTACTGGTAAAAAATGAGTTAGCACCCAGGCGCCACGCAAGTTGTGTATAACTGGGAGTGATTCACATACGCGGGAGAAAGAAAAAAAATCGACCATCCAATGTGTATGAAGCAAGCATGGGAAGTGAAAATGGTTATTGTAATTTAGCCTTTCTGTACCACAAGTTATAAATTTGCCAAAATGTCCATGTTAGTAGTTCATAGTATACAATTTATCTTTAGATGTGTCAGGCGCCTAACGCAGCCACAGCACCAAAAGTGGCCACAACCACAAATGTTGAAAAGAGGAAGAAAAGGGGCGTGTGGGCTGCAGCAAAGTTTGAAGATGAAAAGAAAATAAAAAATGGTGGGCCCCACAGCATAAAAAAATATTAATATTTTATTACACATAGTGTTTTTCCAAAACCCTATAAATAGGCTCCAAATACTTAAGTAAAAACTCATCCCAGAAACAACTTCTCTTATAGAAGAGTGAGAGAGAAAAAAAAAATAGAAAAGAGAGAGTATCTCCTTGTAAAGAGAGATTGTAACTCCAGAGTTTTCTCTTCATAGTTGATTCTTCTATCCTTACCCGTGGATGAAGGCGATTTTGTGTCGAATCACGTAAATCTGCGTGTCTATCATTTTATTTTTATTTTTGCTCTATTATTACTACGACCATGCTCTATTGGATCCCGGGTTTGTCCCAACAAGATATATGCCAGATTTTTTTTCCCCGAATTGATATATAGCGATATTGTCAAACAAAGCAGCATTGGCCTGGTCCATTAATTGATGTGCGGCTAGCTCTACAAAGAGATCCACACATCAGTCCACACATCCATCCAACTGCAGCTATCTTTTACCAATTTCTAGGTTGACGTCTCTTCTCCTTTTGTCGTGGTTCGGCAAAATTCATCCGTAGTGCTGTGATATAAAGTATTGAATTGAATAAGTATGAGTTTTGTCAAATGCCGAGTATGTATGTATGTATTTTGTTCTATGTAGGCTGTGTGTCGTAGTTTGCGTTGATTTGTCCATGCAAAAGAAAGTTAATTAATTAATTGGAAGGTTGGTATCACTCATAATTCAATCTTTCTCGTGGTGTTCAAGTTGAGCCAGTCGCAAGTTTAGTCTATATACTAACAAATTGAGGTTGAAGTCCTTGCACCTTTTGGCGTACTCGGAGCAAGTTTGGCCAAAAATGCTTATGAGTCCAAGCTGTTTAAATACTATGTGGTCCTTCCACTGAGATTTTCTCTCGTACGTCTCTTATTTTTTCATATTGGTTGATAAGGATTTTTCCCTATATTTCTAGTCCACTTGTACAGTAAGGGTTTTGTGCTCTTAACCGTAGTACTGAATGAGTAGCTGGCGCAATGGCTGTATCTGGTGGGGATGAGGAACTCTTGCATGCATGCACTCATCTTATTGCTTATTATTTTCATAATGCAACTTGATCATAATATTTATAAGCCGGAATAATATAACACCTTCAATATCCAAGCATGACTCTAACTATCCAAGCATGATCTGACTGCAGTGCGGATTACATAATTCATCTCTCTCTCTCTCTCTCTCTCTCTCTCTCTCTCTCTCCCCCCCTCTCTCTCTCTCTCTCTCTCTCCCCCTAGATGGAGAACTACAGCCACGAAGAACGAAATATCCCGATCGAAGGCCGGCCCAAACCCTACCCCCCAAATTGCATGATGAATGCCAGCAGGTCCATGTTGGTGCCAACACATTCACATGCATGCCCATTGCCCACCTTCACAAAACTCCAAGACGTACCCTAGCTCCTATAAAACCTTAAGCTCCTCTTCCATCTCTCTTCAATTCACAGAAGTTAGTTCCTCTCTTCTTTGAGAATGGCAGCTTCATCAAACAAGGCCTTGGCCTCTACCACCGCTCTCCTCCTCACCCTCAACCTCCTCCTCCTCCTCTTCTCTCTAGCCTCTTGCAACTCGGCCCCTTGCCCTCCGGAGCCCACCAAGCCTCAGCCTCAACCAACACCAAGGCCGCGTCATCATCACGGCTCATGCCCTCGTGATACATTGAAGCTTGGAGCTTGTGCTGACGTTCTTGGTGGACTCATCAACATCAACGTTGGCAAGTCCCCTAAGACGCCATGCTGCAGCTTTCTTCAGGGCTTGGCTGATCTCGAGGCTGCTGCTTGCCTCTGCACAGCGATCAAGGCCAACGTCTTGGGCCTTAACTTGAACGTCCCGGTGAGTCTCAGCCTGCTCCTTAACTACTGCGGGAAGAAGGTCCCTGAGGGATACAAGTGTGCCTAGCTATATATGTGTGTCTGTACTTCGTGGAATATTCTTGCTACTGCATGGTTGAATGCTAGTCTTGGTGTTAAAAGAGCCTGCAATCTTGTTGTTGCTTAATTAATTAGTTGTGGTGTGATTCTGGTGTGGTGTTCAGCTTGTTTCGTTTCGATGATATCCATCGGAGACTTCAAAGTTTCTAGCTAGCTAGTGGGAGATATATAGAAGGTTTGTGTTGTCATAATGTGTCACGGTAATAATTAGAGTTCTGTGAACGCAAATATATATATGCAGTGCGTGGGTGTGATGTTCGAGTGCAGAAGATTCTATATATACGTCTGTCGTAATTAATGTAACGTCTTATATATAAATGGGCATTAATGTCTTCTGTAGATTGTTAATTAACAGTACTCATGCCAGCAGGGATGGCCGGGTGACCATGAGCATGCGCTGCACTGCTAGCTATAAGTTTTTATATTTGTGATGGGGAGTAAATTAAAAAGGGTTGAACAAGCTTCTCTTAACTTCACCATAAGAAAAGAACCCAGACGAATAGGTCATTAGTTTACAAATTGTCAGGCGTCTACTAACATGGTGACTGCTAACTCTGAGAAGGGTAATAATTCATCTATCAACAACAAGAAGAAGTTTTCATTTACCAAAAAAACAACAACAAGAAGAAGTTTTTTAACAAAAGGAAGAACCAGAATCCAAAGAACCTGAACGTTCAGAAGAAAGAGTTCAAGAAGAACGGTAAATGCTTCAATTGTGGGAAGCAATGACATTTTACCAAGGACTGCAAAGCACCAAAGAAAGAAATTACACATAATGTTAATCAAGTTGATGATTGTGTGACTATGATCTTCCAGGTAACAACTCCTAACAGCAATATCGCTGATTGGTGGTTAGACATATGTGTTATTTGTCATGTTTTCTCCAATAGAGATGTATTCTCTTCTTATGTTGCTGCCAAAGAAAACGTATCAATGGTTGATCGTTCCGTGGTTTCTGTTCTTAGAGCTGGAACTGTGGTGCTGACTCTCTCTTCAGGAAAGACTCTCATATTGAAGGATGTGAAACATGTTCCCTCAATTGCCAAAAACTTAGTCTCTGGAAGCCTGCTATGTGATGCAGGTATGAGATTGGATTTCCAAAGAGGTAAGGCTATATTATCCTTTAAGAAAATATATTTTGGCAATGCATATCATACTGATGGCATATATAAGATCAGTACTATTGCACCTAACTTGGTTATAAATGAAGTATCCTCTTCTACTTACTCCCATGTATTATGGCATAATAGGTTATGACATGTAAATTATAGAAAATTGTCTAGCATGGAAAATTTAGGATTAGTTTCAAAATATGGGGGTAATAAACCTAAGAAATGTGAAGTTTGCGAGCAAGAAAAGCTGATGAGGAAGCCATTTTCAAGTGTCACGAGGAGCACCAACCTATTGGATCTGATTCATTCAGATACTTGTGACTTCAAGAGCTTCGTCACTCGTGGCGGCAAGAAGTACTTCATCACCTTCATTGACGACCATTCTCACTTTTACCATGTTTACCTGCTGAAATCTAAAGATGAAGTCTTCAGCAAGTTTGTCGAGTTTCGGACTCGAGTGGAGAAGCAGCTTGGACTGCAGGTGAAAAGACTCAGGAGCAACAATGGAGGAGAGTACCGATCTAAGAAATCGGAAGCATACTTCAAGGAACATGGAATCATTGCTGAAACTACTGCTTCGTATTCTCCGTAATCTAATGGGATTGTAGAAAGGAAGAACTACACATTGACCGAGATAATGAATTCGATGCTAATCACATCTGGTTTACCTACCTACTATTAGGGAGAGGCTTTGCTGATGCTAAACTGGATTCTAAACAGAGTACCCTATTCCAAAACTGATAGTACTCCTCATCAGTTATGGTTGGGATATCCATACCCTTTGGATAATCTCAAAATGTGGGGGTGTCTTGCATATGTTCGAATTCAAGATATCAGAAGGCCTAAGCTCGGACCAAAGACTAACAAATATGTATTTCTTGGCCAAAGTGAGTCATGGCCATTTTTACACTATAAGAAAACTTGTATGTGTCTACACTTGTTTTATAACACAAATAAAAATATTATTTTATTTGCAAAGGATTAAACAATATTGACACAAATAAAAATGTAACAAATCACGACGCATATTTGTATCGTTAAATATACAATTAAATATAATTAAAAATACTAATAGTTCAATATCGATTGTAAGAGGATCTATTCATAGGCTTAAATAATAAATCTTAAATTTTAATTATGGTGTTAATGAAACATTTATAATAGTGTATAAGCTGAAAAACCTCCATAGTTTACCTAAAAAAAACCTCCATAGTGAGGTGTGCTTTGGTGAGCTAGAGTAATCTTACGATGGGTAACCTTCTTAGAAGTTATAGTGTTGAATGATGATACTCTTTATATTTTAATGGTCTAGACACAACTATGTATCACTATTCTTGACACACATATGTGTCATGAGTTTTGTTACATATATGTGTTAACACTCTTGACATATACATACATACATATATACATATGTGTGTGTGTGTGTCATGGCTTTTATGAAACATTCTCACATGTGTAAAAAGAGGCTCTCCACACATACTCTACCCATACATTCTCAAATGTATCGCGTAGAAAAAAAAAGTTATCATTATTTTTAACTTTTATTGGAGTATCACAACTTTATACGTATAAGAGGCTCTTTCACACCATTGCCCATCTTGATGGACAGTCCCTGTTTGGCTATTGGATTTATGACATCGTCATAAATTCAAGAGATCTTTAACAATCTAGCAGCATTATTGCAGGTACAGATAAATGCGCAATTAACATTAAGGCTTAATTAGTTATTCTAATTATATATAATAATATCATTTTAACACCCTAAAGTGTCATATATATTTCTAAGATTCTTTTAGGATATTTGCTCGTTTAGTATATGATATTTTTATCTTATCTTATTCAAAATTGGCAACGATACATATTTTCCTAGATATGTTATTGAGAAGATTTTCACCTTCAGACTATTTTAATTATTTTGAGCTATGTATTTAGATATACATTTTTTATAATATCTATATTGGACTATATTGAAATTCTAATATATTATTGTTTTTAGGGAAAAATGTATCCAGGCCCCAAAAACAGAAACTTCATGTGCTGCAGCCCCTCTTAGTTTCCCCCATGTGATTCAGCCCCTTGAAGTGTGACACTTTGTACTACAGTCCTTTTTTAGCAATTATTACATGCCAGCTAAGCTAAAATCCTCAAAATAACCTTATCCCATCTCTTCAATCCCTCAAACCCAGCTCTCTCATCTCCCTATGTTAGTTCTAGCTAGTTGGGCAAGTTAAAACTAACAATATTCGAAGCGATATAACGAGAGATAGAAAATGAGCCAAAGTGAAAGAAAGATACCATGTGATAGACAATATAAAGGGCTACACACCGGTGAAGGCGGTGGTGAAAACGGAGACCGGAGGTGGTCGAAAAACGCACGCGAAGTCGGCACGGCGCTGCTATTTTCTGCTCGCTGCTGCCGTCGAGCGATGTTTCGGACGTTACCGAGAGAGATAGAGACCGAGTTAGAGCGTGATACAAATTGGAGGTGATAGGCAACATGTAAGGCTAGTCACCAAAGAAGAAATCGGAGGAAACGGAGATTGGAGGTGATCGGAAAGTACGTGCGAAGTCGGCACAAAAACTACACACCGGTCTTCATATGTTTAGTATATGATATTTTTATCTTATCTTATTCAAAATTGGCAATGATACATATTTTAATTTGAATAATGACAAAATTTTCCTAGATATGTTATTGAGAAGATTTTCTTTTGTATTTCATCTTCAGACTATTTTAATTATTTTGAGCTATGTATTTAGATATACATTTTTGATAATATCTATATTGGACTATATTGAAATTCTAATATATTATTGTTTTTATTGTACTTATTTACACGGAAAAGACATTTATTTTTCATATTTATATATTTTTATAATATACAACTAGTACTCCGATTGCACGCGAAGATGCGTGCATGATACAATACGTATATATTTGTATGAAAAAGATTATTAGCACCAACTTAACAAATGACAATAAATAATAATTTGTTTGACATACCTACTTCTCTCAAGATCTCTCTTTTGCTTGATATAAAGGAAATCATATATAGATATCCTTACCTGGTAAAAATAAAAAATAAAAAAAGAGAAGGAAGACTGACTTTTGGATCTTGGGAATTGCTTCCTCCTGAGAATAATACCATCGATCAGCATCAACGTTTAAAAATTGTAGCCAGAAACAACAGTAATATTTTAAGAGCCCACCTCTACGTACGCTTCTCTTATAAACCGGCATATTATAAATGTAACTGAAGTTGGATATATAGCGGTGTTCAAAAATATTAAACGTGGAAGGAGGTTGAGTGTTAGTGGGAATTTTGTTAATTTGGTTATGTTCAAGGACGACTATTCCTCCTCTGCCTTTGAAATTTGCTTTGAGATACTATTAATTAGTTTCTAGGGCATTAAAAAAAACTGAAGCTCACATGCCCAGAATTGAGGCTTTTCTTAACTAATAGAAATATATATTTTTTATTTTTTAAAACATTTCATGGGAAGTTAATGAGAGGATTTTGTGAGATCATGTGTTTGAATCTTATACTTTACCATTTTACCAGTTTGCCCGTTACAATTAAATATTGTAAAAAGTGAAGACGTAAGAGCATGCATGTATTTATAGAAATTGTGACAAAAAAAAAGGGTATAACATCAAAAAAGTAATGCAAAAGGCTAGCTTTCTTGAATAAATATATAGTTATAGATAAAAATAATTATTTTACTTAGTTTGCGTTATGATACACTTTAGAAAGCTCTAGAAATAAAGAAAGAGAAAGAAAAGAAAAGAATAGAAAATAGATTGTGTGAAATAACCAAATTGTCCTCTGTGTCTTTAGCGAAATGAAAGACAATTTCCCATATCCTTCAAAATTTTCTACCGTCGTTAAATTTTTAATATATTAGTAATTAGTATAGATAATTTTAAATCTTTGTTTAATTGGTAGAATAGTGGAATGTAAAGTTGGTTT